AGTGAGAGAGAAAAAGGGAGAGAAACAGAAACATAGAGAAGGTTGGGGAACTGTGAGAGTTCTCCAGGATCTGAGAAACCTGTGAAAGCCATTGTTTACATTCTCCCTCCACTTAGACAGTGTGGGCAAGAGCTCTACCCAGGTGCTCTGGCTAACCTGCAAGATCACCACAGTGCATTCTGAGCAGCCACCATGTCCTGAGTTTATTCCAATGAGACCAAAAGGGCACCACAGCACACATGTACCAGGCTGCCCAACAACGCCCTCCTCCAGCCACAGACAATTGAATTAACAGGAAGCAGCCACACACATGTGTACACTGGGCCACCCGACCCAACATAGGGGCACAAACATATAAAGCAAAAATTAAAAAATTAACATAGAGAGAAAAATTGACAATATGACAATAGTAAGGGACTTCAATACCCAGCTCATATCAACTGATAAATTATCCAGACAAAAGATAAAGCAGCAAAGGCCTTAAAAGTCACACCAGGCCAAATTCATTCAATAGACATTTATAGAATATTTTATCCAAAAAATGCAGAATACACATTGTTTTCAAGTGCACATGGAACAGTCTCCAAGATATTAGGTCACAAAACAAGTCTCAATAAATTCAAGAAGACTGAAATCATATCAAACATTTTCTTCAACAGCAACATTATGAATTTAGAAAGTTTACAAGAACTGAAAAAAAAACATACAAAGCATGGAGACAAACAACATGCTACTAAACAACCAATGGATCAAAGAGGAAATCAAAAAATACGTAAGACAAATGAAAATGAAAACACAACTCTCCAAAACCTATGGAATGCAGCAAAAGCAGTTGTAAGAAGGACGTTCATGGCTATGCAGGCCTACCTCAAGAAACAAGAAAAATCCCAAATAAACAACCTATCTGTACATTTAAAAGAACTATAATAAGAATAACAAACAAAATCCAAAGTAAGCCCTGACCAGCATTGCTCACTTGGTTCAGTGTTGTCCCATAAAGCAAAAGGTCACCGGTTAGATTCCCAGTCAGGGTACATGCCTGGGTTGTGGGTTCAGTCCCCAGTTGAGGCGAACATGAGAGGCAACTTATCACTGTTTCTCTCATGCATATATGTTTTTCTCTCTTTCTTTCTCCCTCCCTTCCCCTATCTCTAAAAATAAATGAATAAAATCCTCTTTAAAAATTATTTTAAAAATCCAAAGTATAAGAAAGGAAATAATAAACCAAAGCAGAAACAAATGAAAAAAAGACTAAAAAAAAAAAAAATAGAAAAGATCAATGAAACTAAGAGCTTGTTCTTTGAAAGATAAATGAAATTGACAAACCTTTAGACAGACTCATAAAGAAGAAAAGAAAGAGGATCCAAATAAATTAAATAAAAAATGAAAGAGAAATCACAGCTGACAACATAAATATAAAGGACCATTAAAGAATATGACTATTACATGCCAACAAATTGAACCTAGAAGAAATGCACGGATTTATAAAAAGATACAAGCTTTCAAGACTAAATCAGGAAGCACCTCAAGCCATGAATTTAAGTGTAGACTTCATCTTAAAGAAACTCTAGACATCTCCTAAGAATAAAATCAAAGCTTCTACACATGACTCGATGAAGGCCTCACAATTAATTTTTCAAGGGCAATGACCAGAACATAATCATTGATACTAGGAAAACAAGGCAATATGAGCACCCAATAGTCAAAGCAAAGCCAGTAGTAACAAATCTAAAAAAGCTTTGGATATTAAGATTGTAAATGAAACAACTATGCTTACTATGTTTAAAGATATAAATGGCAAGCCTGTAATATCTACAGAGAACAGGGAACTATAAAAAGTGACATAGCAGACTTGAAAGAACTAAATATATAAAACTGTAATAATTAAAATTTAAAACTCAATGGTTAGATATAACATTTTGACCCCAACAAAGTACTAGTAAAATAAAAGTTATGAAAAAATTACACAGAATGTACCATAGTTAAAAAATAAAAATTTAAAATAACTAAAATGTAAAAGTCACATCAGATACAATAAGAGGTCTCTCATTTGCTTTCAGTCCCATAAGGAAAAAGAAAAAACACAGAAATATGGTCAGGGAAATGTTAGAGAGTAATGACTAGAATTGTGCAGAACTGATAGAAGTTTCAAAGAATCACGAGGAGTAGCAAATCCCAAGCAACAGAAATAAATCTATACCTCAATATATCATAATTAAATGTAGAAAACCAAAGATAAAGAGAAAAATCAAATTTAAAATATTTAAATAAAAATAAAATAATATAGCTAAAATGAAGAGAGAGAAATCATAAGAGCAACCAGAGGGGGGAAAACCAAAAAATTTTTAAAAGATTGACACCTAACACATCAAGAGAAACAATGAAAACCAAAGCCAAGAGAGTACAAAACAATGACAGAAAATAATCAAGTAATTATCTAGAATCCTATAGCCACTAAAATATCTCTCAAGAAAGATGAAGAAATAATGATATTTCTAGACAACCAAAAATTGAGAGATGGTTTCACCAACAGGCTCTCAGTAGCAATTCTGGACCTCAGAGAGGCAGAAGAAAAGTGATCCTGAGTAGAAAGTCCAAGATGCAAGAAGCAATAAAAAAAATAAAGAACAAATGTATTTAAAAAGTAAATAAATTAATTAAAAAAAAAAAAGAAACATGAAAAGGATGTAAATGGCTAATAGTTATGGGGGGTGAATTGGAAAAATATATATTTTTTCTTGATATTGTTCTGTGTTGTTTGAAATGCTATTTTTGAAATAAAAATAAAGACATAAACAGCAAAAAAAAAAATAAAGAAAACAGTAAAAATATATGGCTAAGTATAAACAAAATTTAATAAAATTTAAGTATGTAAAACAGAAATAATAACACAAAAATAGGATCTACTAAGACTAAACACAAGAATTAAAATATAAGCAACATAGTACCAATACATGAAATTCAAATGTTTTGAGGTCTTTATATTATTTCTGAAAGCAATAAAGGTTCTGTTCAACTTTACACTTGGAATAATTTAAGACTGCACATTATGGGATAACTCAAGATTGTACTTTATGGACTACGTTTCTATGTAGGATGTAGTATATTGGAGCTCCTTCCAAAACAACTGAAGAAACTGGAAACTAAGCTAATGTTTCTGCACATACTTGTTGCCTGAAGGTACTTGCTGATTCTGTTTGTTGGGAAAAGATGTTAAAAATCCAGATTTTTCCCAGGCAGAGAGCTGTTATTAGAAAACAGAAAAAATAGCAGAGCTTTTAAAGATCTTGTAGGATTGAAGACAAGGACCTCAAAAGTACAGTCAGTTTTTCCCCCAAAACATTTGCCAAATTTTGAAACTATAAGATAAAGGCTAAAGGCTAAGCAGAAAATATTGAAAAAGCAAAGCAGAATTTCTGGCAATCCTGTGGTGCCAGGGAAATAAGGACCAGCAGTATTCAGGACATGGTGAAGGGAGCAAGACCACACCAGGCCCACAATGCCCTAGAAGGCTGCACTCCAGGTGCAAACCAAGAGCAGACGGACCCCTACTATAAATGACGAGAACAGAAAAGGATAATAGTACTATCTGAAGACTCCATAAGTTTTTATATATGTCTAACATTCAATCAAAAAGTATTAGGAATGTCAAAAGACAATGAAAATCAAGGCAATTTTGCCTTTCTTTTATAATACAATTTATGATTTATAACATAATGTCTTGCAGTACTTTCTAGTCATTACTTGAAATGCCAATAAAAATCAATCTGTAGATATGAAAATTTTACATTTATAGAATGGCAAATAACAAAAAATCTACCATATTTCTAACCTCTCTGCAAATTTTATCTTTGTCTAGATATCATAACTACATAATTATCATTATTGCTCATACAGAACATTCATTAAATCTTATTTATTATACATATAGGCTTATCAGCACTAACTTTTACTCCATCCTTTTAAACATTTTCATCTTACTGAGAACATACAGTTTCAAAACTAACTCCCAGTATTAACATCTAATGTACTTTCCAGCTTCCCTAAAATCTGTACTTTTTTCTCACTGCATATTTTGTTTCTCTTACATGTTATAACCTTAACAACTCTACCTTTAAAAAGACAAAGTATGTGAAAAGACTTGGAAAACTATAAATCTCCATGCAAATTTAATGGCATTTATTATTATTATTATTACTAACATGTAAAAAGCCTGATAAAAAGTTAATACTTTCGACTAATCGCCATGAATATGGTGCTTTTTAACAGGATAGAATAAAAAATTAACCTTTATGTAGGCTATTAAAATAGTTCAAATTCCAAATCTAACTGTAACAAAACAGTATGTTATCCTCATGTTTTAAATTTTTCTCTTTCCTTTTAAGATATCTATTTATCTATCTATATTGCTTTTAACAGAATTAAATCCCTTAAGGTAATAATGAAAAAGTCATATGAAATTAGATATACAGAGAATCATGGAATTCTCAGAGCCTATTTACATGCTAGTTTTTCACTAGTAAAATAAGGTTTTGAACATGATTTATAATGCCGTTTTTAGTTCTATGCCTGATTCTGCACCAGTTAACCACATGGCTTCTGCTGAAGTAAATTTTTCACTTAGTTAAATCAATGGTATAGATAACTTAAAAAGTAAGTGTTCTAACAAAGTTGCAAGTAGTAGGCTATATTTGCACTATCAGGCTTAGAATATAAAACAAAAGATCACAAGACACAGAAATGAGTCTTATTCCTTCCCATAAAAGGTGAGTACATATCAGAAAAAAGTAGCTTAATTAGATAAACTAAAACATTCTATTAATAAATCTGGAATTCTGGCAGTACAGCCATGACTCATACAAGTACCAATAATAAGGAGCAAGTAACCTTTGTGCTACATGCAAATAGGGGGACTTTGTACATTTGATGACCTATACAGAAAGGTAGTTCCTATTTGGATAAAAGAAAAATAGCATTTATGATCAAAAGTGTATGCTCACCTTGTAAAAATTCCTCCTTGCAAGAAGTGAAGTAGAAGAAAATAATGCTGGCTCTCTTGGCCTGCTTTCTTCAAATCGGTCTTGAACCAAGAATAACTAAAACACTGGACCACAAGGGTTCCAAAGAGCATAAAGCTTACTGTTAAAACACCAAAAACATATTGTTCTTCATGGAAAAACCTAACGGATACCCAGATGTCCACAATTAAATCAGTTATATAGATTATAATGCCAAGAACTGACATCATAAAATTAAATTTAGTATATTTCATTATGAATCACTACAGCTCTTAGTTGTCTTTCTTCTCTTACACAAAAAGAAAAAGAACAAATATTAGTGCATCCTTTAGCATAGCACCAAGTTTTATTTTCTACTCCCTAAATCTATTTAGGAGAATAAATACTATGAAATTGGAACACTAAAATCAAAGTGACTAATTTTAATTTTCTTTTCTAAATCTCTAATGTAGTTTCAATGTTGCAAGGCTTTACTCAATCTTGTTTCACAATGATCTTCATTGCAGATGACAACACCTAAAATAAAACATATATATATATATATAAGATTCTAAAACTCTTGAGTATAATATTCATAAACCCTAGACTGAGCTTTGAATTTATCAAAGCTCTGTTTTTAGAAAAAAAAAATACATTACTACTAAATATAGTTCTTACAATAACGTTGGGAAAGTAAAGTCTCAGCAACATACTAACAAGTTGACAACTTCCTCTCAGCCTATTTACCTTTTAAAAAGCTTACCCTAGCTCTCTCTGCTCTCTGCATGAGAAGATAACTATCTGCAAACCAAGAAGTGGGCGCTTTCCAGACACTGGGTCTGCTGGCACCTTGATCTTGGACTTCCTGCCTCCAAAACTAAGTTTCTTCTCAGACATGCTTCTCCTGGAAAAGGCTTCTGTACTCTAAATCACATCTACTTGCCAAACAGAGAGCCTGAAACTCAGTAGAGATGGATTCTTCCAGGTTAAACACTGCCCTCTATTAAAATACAGGTATCTTCTAATACAAGTCACACATGACTATAAATTAGCAGCACTTGTAATTTTTCAAATCAGTAACTATCAAAGTCCTGAAGGAATGCAATAGATAAGTGGTCTCCAAACACTTTTGTTCTTTTTTATTCTTCCCTGAAGACATTTTTTATTGCTTTTACAGGAAGGGAGAGAGACATATTGATGTGAGAGAAAAACATCAATTGGTTGCCTTCTGTACAGGACCCAACTGGCCTTTTGTGCTACAGGACAATGCTCCAACCGAGCCACAGAGTCTAGGACTCCAAACACTTTTGATTATACATCTTTATTAGTAACAAACTTTGATGCCCTGGCTGGTGTGGCTCAGTGGTTTCAGTGCTAGCCTGCAAACTGAGAGGTTGCAGGTTTGATTCCCAGTCAGGGCATATGCCTGAGTTTCAGGCCAGGCCCCTAGTTGGGGGCATGCAAGAGGCAATCAATCAATGCATCTCGCAACATCAAAGTTTCTCTCCCTCTCTTTCTCCTCCCTTTCCCTCTCTAAAAATGAATAAACAAAATTTTTTAAAAAATAAATTTTGAGCCATGTCTACAATATATGTATGTGGGTGTATGTACTGTTAATCCATGCATTTTATATAGGATTTTTATATACATTTAAAAATAATGAAATTAAAGAAACTTAACTACTCACAAAGATATTTACAATAGGACCATTTATAGTAGCAAAAATTTGGAAACATTCTAAATGTGTCAGCATAAGGAATTGGTAAAGTAAATAATGGTAGATTCATAAAATGAAATATCCCAAAGCTGCTAAAAATATATTTAACAGGTACAATAGCTATGAAAAGATTTAATATGCTTTTGATCCATCAGTTCCATCTAGGAATCAAGCTTAGGGAATATTCACAAATGTGTACAAAGATACACATGCTCTTTGCAGAACTTTTTTTATAATTATATTTTATTAATCATGTTATCATGTTATTACAGTTGCCTCAATTTTTCCTTTACCACCCCTCCACCCAGCAGCCCCACTCTCTCAAGCAATCATCCTACAATTGTTCATGTCCAGAGGTCATGCATATCAGTTCTTTAGCTACTCCATTTCCTATACTGTACTTTTTACATCCATATTACTATTCTGTAACTATCTACTTGTATTTCTTAATCCCCTCACCTCTTCACCTATTTCCCCACATGTCCCTCCCATCTGGAAACCATCAAAATGCTCTCCATATCCATGATTCTGTCTCTGTTCTTCTTATCTTAGTTTGTTTTGTAGATTCATTTACTGATAGATACGCATTTTTGCCATTTTAGTGTTCATAGTTTTGATCCTCTTCTTTTTCTTAAATAAGCCTCTTTAACATTTTATATAATAATGGTTTGGTGATAATGAACTCCTTTAGTTTTTTCTTTTCTGGGAAGCTCTTTATCTGCCCTTAGATTCTAAATGAAAGCTTTGCTCGGTAGAGCAATCTTGGCTGTAGGTCCCTGCTTTTCATGACTTTGAATATCTCTTGCCAATCCCTTCTAGCCTGCAAAGTTTCTTTTGAGAAATCAGCTGACAGGCTTATGGGGACTCCCCTGTGGGTAATTAATTTCTTTTTTCTTATTGCTTTTAAGATTCTCTTTTTATCTTTAACCCTTGGCATTTTATTTTTTTTAATATATTTTATTGATTATGCTATTACAGTTGTCTCTACTTTCCCCCTTTGACTCTCTCCACCCATTACCAACCTTCTCTCTACCAATTCCCACCCCTTAATTCATGTCCATGGGTCATGCATGTTAAGTTCTTTGGCTTCTCCATTTCCCATATGATTTCTGACATGCCCCTGTTTATTTTGTACCTACATTATGCTTCTTAATACCTGCACATTTTTCCCCATTTTCCCCTCCCCTCTCCCAGCTGATAACCCTTCAAATGATCTCTATATCTATGATTCTGTTCTTGTTCTGGTTTGCTTTAGTTTGTTTTGTAGATTCATATGTTGATAATTGTGAATTTGTTGTCCTTTTAATGTTCATAGTTTTGATCTTCTTCTTAAATAAGCCCCTTTAACATTTCATGTAATAATGGCTTGGTGATGATGAACTCCTTTAGCTTTACCTTGTCTGGGAAGCACTTTATCTGCCCTTCCTTTCTAAATGATAGTTTTGCAGGGTAGAATAGTCTTGGTCATAGGTCCTTGCTTTTCATCACTTTGAATGCTTCTTGCCTGCAAAATTTCTTTTGAGAAATCAGCTGACAGTCTTACAGGAACTCCTTTGTAGGTAACTCAGTCTTTTCTCTTGCTGCTTTTAAGATTCTCTCTTTATCTTTAACCTTTGACATTTTAATCATGGTGTGTCCGGGTGTGGTTCTTTTTGGGTCCACCTTGTTTGGGACTCTCTGTGATTCCTGGACTTGTATGCCTATTTCCTTCACCAAATTAGGGAAGTTTTCTTTCATTATTTTTTCAAGTAAGTTTTCAATTTCTTGTTCTTCCTCTTCTCCTTCTGATACCCCTATGATTCGAATGTTGGTATGTTTAATGTTGTCCCAGACAGTCCTAAGCCTGTCCTTGTTCTTTTGAACTGTTTTTCCTTCCTGCTATTCTGACTGAAAGCTTTTTCCTTCCTTGTGTTCCAAAACATTGATTTCTCAGCTTTATCCTCTCCACTGTTGGTTCCCTGTACATTTTTACTTCTTCCCTTATGTTTTTTCTTCCCTTAATATTTTTGCCATACTAATGAGTTCTTTGAGCATCGTGATCACCAATGTTTTGAACTCTGCCTTTGATAGATTGGGTATTTCCATTTCATTTCTTTCTTTTCATGGGGTTTTGTTCCGTTCTCTCATTTGGGCTGTATTTCTTTGTATCATCAATTTGGCAGCCTCCCTGTGTTTGTTTCTGTATTAGGCAGACCTGCTTCAACTCCCTGTAGAAGGCACCTACAAATTGTATGAGGCAAAGCCTTAGGTACTAGCCAGGGCAGGACAACCTGCTTCACCATTTTGTGGCTCTGTGTGGGGGGAGGGTTTGGAAAGGAGACAATGCCACGGCCTGGATTTTGGAAGTTTGCCCAGCACTCACCCCATTTCTAGTCATGTCACCCACTTCCCATATGCAACTTCGCACCCTTCCAGCTTTTGTGCTGGTGGTGAATCCCGGAGTGGGTGGGTTTGCGTACATTCTAAGTTTGTGCAGGCCCTTTAAACAAACTCTCCTGAAACTCAAGCAGTTTTTCTGCCACCCCAACCCCATTGGTTTTTACAGCCAGAAGTTACTGGATTTATCTTCCTGGCATTGGAACCCTAAGCTGTGCGTTCTGGCCTGGTGCTGGGATTGCTTACTCCCAAGGTATCCCTCCCAATTATAACCAGCACACATGAATGTGGGACCGTCAGTTTTACCATGGCTGCTGCCCCTCAGTGCCATAGCACCGCACCACTACACTGTGTCTCTGAACCTCTCTGCCCCTCCTACCTGTATGGAGAAATGTGGTTTCTTTAAATCCTTGGTTGCCAGACTTCGATACAGCTCAATTTTCTCAGTTCTGGTTATTATCTGTTTTTGAGAAATAGTTGTAATTCTTTCTGTGGTTATGTGAGGAGGCAAAACGTGTCTACTTATGCCCTCATCTTGACCAGAAGTTAACCTTTGGCATTCTAATTATGATGTGTCTTGGAGTGGGCCCTTTGTAGCCATCTTGTTTGGGACTCTCTTTGCTACCTGGACTTGCACGTCTATTTCCTTCACCAAATTAGGGAAGTTTTCTTTCATTATTTTTTCAAATAGATTTACAATTTCTTACTTTCTCTCCTCCTTCTGGCACCCCTACAATGTGAATGTTGGAACCCCTGAAGTGTTCCAGAGGATGCTTACACTATCCTTGTGGGGGGGGGGGTGGATTTTTTTTTTTTTTCTTGCTGTCTTGGTTGATTGTTTTTGCTTCCTTATGTTCCAGATTGTTGATTTGATTCTTGGCTTCATCCACTCTTACTGTTGTTTCCCTATAAATTGTTCTTTATTTCAATCAGTGTATCCTTTGTTTCTGACTGGGTCTTTTTTATGCTGCTGAGGTCCTCACTGAGTTCCTTGAGCATCCATACACCAATGTTTTCAACTCTGTATCTGATAGATTACTTACCTCCATTTCATTTAGTTCTTTTTCTGGAGTTTTGATCTGTTCTTTCATTTGTGCCATGTTTGTATTCCTGTTTTGGCAGCCTCCCTGTGTTAGTTTTTATGTACTAAGTAGAGCTGCTTTGACTCTGTCTTGGTAGTAT